CCCACAGCTCCTCCAGGGATGATGACTGACAGTGTCCCAACAGCAATTCCTAATAATTTTCCAACTTTGACAATTAATAACTAATGATCCCTATACAATCAAATGGGATTTCAGGCCCATGGTTTAAACTCAATTTACTGCACTTTCATAACTGTAATTTTTTTTCTCTTTTCCTTCCCCTGAAGGCACCCTCTTCGTTGAATTCTGGGAGGTGAAGATTAAGCTGACAGATGGTATCAGCAGAAGAATGATTATGAGTTCTAAAAACCTTGATATTTTGGCTTAGTACACCATTTTTCATGCAAATACTGACATGGATATTAGCATCCAATTAAGAAAGTGTAAAACGGTGCCATTCTGTTACAGTTTACATTACAATCATTTAATGTTTCATTAAAAATACTAAGAAGGGCTGCTCTGAAAGGGATAAAAATCAATGATCTATATATCACTTCTGCTGCTTTGCTCTTCTGGCACAATGTGGCAGTGAAAATGGGCTATAAATGTCTTTAAATTATTCTGTTAATATGAGTTGCTTTTTGAATTTTTTGTGTTCTGTCTTTATCAAAGGATTGATTCATATCAGGACACACTCCCTGGTGTTAAGGGAGTGTTAGCAACATAAAATGTCAACTCTTCTTTCTTTATAGGGTATTTCCAATTTATTTCAATAGGTTAGGTGATGTCTAAACATTCACCCTTTGTTATTTGGACAAGGACTGTCAGTGCAGTTTAAACACCAAAACCACCTGATTGTCCACAGACAAATGTTTTTAAATGTCCTTTATCTACTGTTTAGTTTTGGTTTTTGTGAGAAAACCCATTTTCTTGATACTTCCACTGAATAATAACACACTCTGTTATTAGAAGAAATTCTCTGACTTTTTGAATATCATCACATTCACATCACTTTTTAAAAATAAGGAATAAATGGAAGGAAATTTCCCAGCCTCACACTGCTGTGAGGTAATATATTAAATAACCTATATTTATTATTAAAACCTCAAAATAATTATTTCATAGGAATACTTTTCTCTGCAAACACTATTACCTAGTTAGCTTAAAATTAAAATAAAATTTGGAGTGTCTTAAAAATTTTTCTAATGAAATGCTTTGAACATTTTGAAACATGTCCCACAGTGGCATTGGGTCAAGAAAATTCAATATACTATGCTTATTTTCATAAATGTCAGGAATTTAGTGTGCTAGATTTTTGCTATTTTAACCAAGAAAGATGTAATTCAAAAGGTTTTGTCCAAGTATATGTACATTAGTTCCCTTCTTTCTCACAGACAGTGAAAAGATATAAATCTCCTCCTTCTCATCATATCTTTTATCAGTGAACAAAATATGACAACAAAAATCATTAAAATCTCATTAAATTCTGGTTTTATGAGAAATTTTAAAAATTTTGGACATGCAGCCACATTATTGAATTAATGATGTAAGTGTTACATCACGAGTAAACCAGGGGCAAAGTTGTGTACACTGTGTTCAGAGATAATAAAATAACACAACTGAACCCTTCCCTCACAGACTGACCTCAGCTTGGGGACAATCACCTGGACAGGTGTCACCCAAATAGCTTGATCAGTTTAAAAAGCATTTGAGACTAAAAACCTGTAACAATCCTCCTTCCTGCTTTGTTTTTTTCCTTCTTATTAAAAGTGGACATCCATCCCAACTTTGTGGCTCCTGCAGCTGCTGGATCCAGGCAGGATAGCAAACCTGGATGGCTCAGCCTGGAAAAAAGGCAGTGAAGGTTCTGAGTGCTGGAAATCAAAGAAACTACCAGCCAAACAGAATTGCACCATAAACAGCAACAGCTGCTTGCAAGTATTGCTTGCAGATTGTCTTCTTTATTAGGAGATATCAAAACCTCCAGTGACAATTCATCACTTTTCTAATCCTATTAGCAATAATGGAAAAATGCCAAGTAATTTCCCTGAAATTTCCCTCTGCTTTCTTTACATCCTTAAAACACCCAAGACTGGAGTACAACCCGAGTCCAAGAACATTGGCTGGCTCTTAGTTGACTGAAAAAACCCAACCTTGTGCTGGAGAGGCTTTACCAAATTGTTTTAGAGGACAGCAAAACACCAGAGTTGAGATTCTTAATTGGAAATGCTGAGGCTTATTTGTTTTATTTCATTTGCACACGGGTTGGTGGCAAGACTGCTCTAAAAGTCCACACTTCACCATAACTCCTGATAACCATTGTCTCGGACACCAAAATTATTGTAAATGCTTTAAGATCTGAAACACTGCCACAATAAGCAGTAGCCTGACTGACTTTGCAAACTCCTCTTGTAAAATTTTCAGACTAGTGTTCATTTTTATGGTTGGTATAAAGGGCCGAATATTGTTTAATTTCATGCAATGGCTAGAAGCTAATGCTAAAAAACTCAAATTCAAAGGAGTTTATCACAGATAGGCAGCCATCAGGACAGTTTACCTAGGAAAGCAATGGATACTTACACACATAAAATCCCTATTTGTCATTTCATTCAAAGAGCAAATATTTTAGACCTTTTTTTCCAAAAGGCCAAAATACCATCATCTGAAAAAGTACAAAGAGTCAGAACATTTCTTCTGAAGTGAAATATTTTTATATCTTTTCACAACATTGTTCCAGGTTTTTTACCAGTTCCCACAATGTATCATTGGAGGTTTGGTGGAACATTCCAAGAGCCGTGTGGGAACAGAGTGTGAATGGGGCAAAAAAAACCCATCTGTCTGCTCTGTAAAAAATAAAGAATTTCAGGATCTGTGCTACAATATGTAGAACCTCCTGTGGTTTTTATTCTTCAGACACAAGGCAGCAGTTTTACAATGTCACTTACACTAAGTGACCTGCTCTCCTCTGCTGGGATTCAGCCATACAGGACACAGAGAGGGCTGTTCCTCAGCTTGGAGAAAAGGATTTAATGAATACTCACTCTGTGGATCAGCCCAGTGCCAAGAGAGAGAGGTGAGCAACGAGTGAAAACTTCCAGTGCCTCTTCCCAGATGTGTATGCCATTTATCTCACCTGTATTCTGGTAAACAAAATTCAAGGGAGAACACATTAAAGAACCAAACTAATGATCTGCAGAGATCCTTGTGTTAATGTTATCTCTTTATACTAAAAAGATGCTTTTAGCTAAATGCCTTTGCAGTTCCCTTCCTGGGCACCTAAATGAATGAAAGGGTGATAATGGCACTTTCATTATTTTAGAGACATATTTACACCTTAACAAAAGAGCTCTTGGCGGGGGGCACAAAACAGAGATGCAAGAGCTTGAATTAATAGGAAAATATTTTGTGGGCCATGTTTGAAATGAACATATAAACTGCTATCATCTTCAGTTTAAAGAAAAAACCTAAAAATGGTAATGAGATTTCTAAAACAGCAGTCAAACTTCATCCCTCATTGTATCAAAAAGTCTGTTTCTGTAAGTTTTCAGGAATAAACCCACAGGAATGTTTCTTGGACAATTAGGAACTGAGGAATTTCTTTCCATACATGAAATCATGGTTTTCTTTTGTGACAAATATAATCTCTTAAAACAAAACTTCAAGTACATACAGACACCAGAAAACTTGAGCCACCAGTCTGTTTAAAAATTTGGGGCTCTGATCTTAGCAATTTCAAAGGCATGCATTTTTAAGGAGAATTTCAATAAAGTTTATCCTTTTAAAGACATTAAGTTTACTTATGAATTATGAAGTTATCAGGTTCTGGTCTCATATTCTTCTGGACAGTTTTCAGTGCAGTGTCCAGCAAGATGCAACTTCTCAAGGCTAACAGAGGAACACAGGAAAATTTCTTCCTCCAGATGGTCCTTCTTAATTTGGCATTTGGTGACTGGAACAAAAAAAAACCCTTAATATAACCTTAAAATAAAGAAAATTATGAAATCTGAAGTAAAAATTTAAAGCAATGCACAACACTGAAATATGCCAGCATTTGATCTAAGGATGCTACAGAATTAGCATAGTGAGCATATGTTCATGTTCAAAGATAACAGACATTTATGATAACCCTTCCTAAACTTAGCTCATCTATCATTTACATATTTAAATGTTCCATTTTTTTTTTAATGAACTAAATCAGGGTCACCTTCATCATTTGTACAGAAATATACACACAGCTTTCATTTATATAAATGTTTAACTACAAATATTGCACCTCAATTTTTAAACAGTAAATCTGTATCAAATTGCTCATTTTCTTAGCCAGCAATTTTTGTAATTTATAATTGTATTTTCTTTCTCTGCTTATGTGCCAAAACTCTGTCTGCAGAAATGCTACTTGAATCTTATTTCTCCAGACCTGAGTTGATTATTTGGATCTGGTTTTCCTCTTCTCAATAATCTTCTTAGTAAAGTCCTCCTGGACAGCAGCAATCTAGCTGCTCTAAAGTTTTTATCAGAACTTCTATAATTCCAGAAAAAAAAAAAAAAAAGAGAACTCATAATTCTAGCACAAGCCATTTCTAATAAACATTTCTGACTAGCTTACTATGAGCCATTTGGTATGGACAGACAAAGAGGGTGATCTAACAGCATAAATCTCATAATTGCATTAAAAGCATAGGTGAATGCCTAAAAACCCCCAATCACAAAATTATCTCAAGACATTTTGAAAGCATATTAAAAAGGCAGATGTTTCTTTTTTTTCCCTTTGTATATATGGTATTTGTGGGAACCATGACACTCATGAGAATGACACAGGAGCATTCACAATTTTACCTGAAAAGAACAGATTTGAAGTCATGCCTTCCTAAGCAGTTGTGTGGTTTGCTGTGAGCCTGATGTAACATTTCAGCTGTGACAATTTCTTTCTGATTTTTGGCTGAAACACAAAGCTGTGTTTCCAAGCTGGCCTTTGCTGTAGACACATTTCCATCCAGAACAAGTTGATCCTTCTGGTTTACTCACCTCCAGCAGCAGTCTGGAATTGGAGGCTGGCAGGGCTGTGTATGGACCTAAATCCTTCTTAGAATTGATGGGAAAAATATCTTCTTTTTTTTTTTTCTTTTTTTCTTTTTTTCTTTTTTGCCTAGTGAGCTCTGATTAGGTTACAAAGTCAAAAATCTCCATCAAGACACAACAAATACTCTTATTAGCATGGATAAATCTCACAGCATTTGTATGAGAAAAAGCTGGACGTTTAGTGAGGTCAATTTTGGAGCTGTGTTTGTGTTCCACATTTAACTACCACAGGCCAGGGAAGCTTGCCAAGGGCACTGCTGTAGCTTTTTACAGCAGGTTATGTACTTACATTTTATATATGAATATCTAAAGGTACTTGAGGGCACTACTGGAGAAGCAAACTGCATTAGCTGCTGTGCCAGTGGATATGCAGCTTCCATGGCTTCTAACAATGTTTTCTCTTTATTGGGAAGCTTTAAAAGCCCTGCATCCATTTTTACACTTTGGCTACACCACTAAAAACCCCAAAATACAGTGCAGAGTGTTGGGGAGTGTGCATTAGCTCTGCTATCATTCTTGCTCTTGATTAAGGAACCCCCCAGGCCATTTGTCAGTGTTATGAAGCTCCCCCAGCGAGTGCAGCCAGCCATGGCATCCAAGGTGCCAAGTGCTGGGGGTACCTGCCTCCCTAGAAAGGCTTGGGGCAGTGGATGAGCTCATTTCAGGGTTAGAGAAGGATTTTAAGGCTTTTTGCTGTTTCCATCCTCAGTGCCTTGCACTGGCTGCTGGAGGCACTTCCACACTGCCAGCACTAACGGGGATTAGTTTGATTCCTTGCCACTATGGAAATTAGAAAATCAACCTTACAGGACCAATCCACCACAGAACCATTTGCTAAGCACCTCATCCATGTGTTTTCTGAACACTTATTATGTGGCACATCTACCAGAAAGGGAAATATTTCACATCAGGGTGTACAGAACAATGTTTGGTATTCAGCACTCTACAGCCCATGGTTCAGGGAGACACCACCATTAAAACCAGAGGTTTAGACCCAAATGAATGTTATACATTATAGGAGAATCCCCAGTGAGACAGGCCCAAAGGACTGCACTGAGAATGGGTTAAAATTTAGCCTGGATAATGATCTTCTGCTGCTATTAATCTAGTATATGGCACAGGAATAAAGCACATAAAGTTACAGATTTTTCTTTTCTATAATCACAAAAGCAATAAAATGAGATATTCCCAAGCTTCCTGTGTTCACATAAATGAAAAACAAAATTTTAAAAACAAAGACCTATATTTGAGTTCCAATTTTTTTCAGGCAGGCTTCAAATCTCAGAAGTGTAAAACAACAAAAAATTATCTCTCAACAAAAAACCTGCCTTTCATTGTTCCCCTTTCCACTTAGGGCCAAAAGTCTGCTGACATTTCATTCATCTGCATCAAATTAAGTTTGGGTGGGAGGCTGTGTTTATTTGTTTTCTTTTCTCCTAGGAAAGCTGACCTGGTTATTGAACATATCTGTGTTGTAAAAATCTAAAATATAACTTCCTTGGTGCTGCTATTTTCCCACAGATTGCACAGTTCTGCATTCCCAGGTTATCAAAATCTGCTTAAATGAAAACTTTAAGTGGGAATGTAAAATTAAAGAAAAACCTTTGTCTCATTCCCCTGTTATGAGGACCAATTTAATTATTGTTTAATCTGATAAATAAAAAAATATTCATTGAATATCTAGTCATTAGAATGCCAAATAATTATGTATTTGGCTTAATAATTTAGCTGCCTTCAATCTACCAGTCTTCATTTCTCTGCAAGAGCATATCATAGTCTTCATCCTTTATCTACTAAATATTAAACATTTTGATGTTTGCCTGGTACCACCCTATGTTGAGTGTAGAGTTTTATTACAGAAGAACAAAATGAGGCTTGCAAATGTAAAATCTCCCAGGCTGCCCTCGGGTAAGTACAATACTTACATGCAAGAGTTATTATAATGAATCTGATAATTATACCATACACAGAAGGCAAGGAGGAGGATGGTGCAGGAGTGCACTGCACCAGAGCTGTATTTCAGCTGCAAGAGGAATGAAAGTTTAACTCTTGTTTTGCTGAATTCAAGGGCAGATTTGCCACAGAGAGCTGATGAACAGGCTGCTTCTCTCCCGACACAATCACTCCTCTGTAAACACCAACACTTGGACTAACTTCAAAGTTGGCTCTTTTAAGACTTAAATATATGTTTATGCAAGCAGCCACCATTTTCTGCACTAGGTGGGAAATGCTGCAAATGTTGGTTGAAAAAATAGCAAAAGCTCTTGCAGTTGTGCCAGCAACAGACACTTTTCAGCAGGCATTTGATGGAGCTTTCAAGTCTCATTGGTGCTGTATTTCCATGTTTTGAGGTTCCAGCAAAGTGATCAAAATATGTATATTACCGTACTTGAAAACAAAACAAAACAAAGAAAAAATGAAAAAAAAATACTAAATACGTTGAATCGGTTTCATTTGCAGCAAATTACAATTCATGATATTCCTGCCTTTGTTTTGTTCCTTTTCTGGCTTCTGAAAAATAGGCATGCTGCTGCCCCAGTAATATTTACAGCACATGGTAAAACTGATTTCTCTGTGATCAAAATCCCTCATATTTTACTTCCCTGCTTATTCTTAAACACAATATTGCTCTCAGTTAGGCTGCATAATAAAAGCATGTCTAATAACAGCGACTTCTTGTTTGTGCTCCTCACATCACTGACATTTAGAGCATAATTGTACAATGGCATAATGGGGCTCATAGAACATTTTCAATAACAGTAGATGGTCACAATTTCACTCCCACCTAGTATTTCTACTGCATTATACATTAATTATACCTTAATTAGAAAATTATATCAACTAGAGTAACAGAGTGCGCTGCTTTTGCCTGGGATAGAGATAATTTTCCTCACAGAGCTAACGTGGGGCTGTGTTTTGGAAAGTGTTGATAGCACAGGGATGTTTTAGCTATGGCTGAGCAGAACTTACACTGCCAGGGCCTTTTCTGCTCCTCATCCCCTCCAGCAGCAAGGGGGCTGGGGGCACAGGGATTTGGGACAGGGCACATCTGGGAGAGCAGACCCCAAGTGACCCAAGGGTGTCCCATCCCTGATGGGGTGATGGAACCTGGCTTTTTGG